GGAGCTGGAAAACGGAGGAGGTGGCCCAATTCGCTTGGCTGTGCGTGAAATGTGCCTAGGGGCGAGGCCGCGCCAGGCCGCTGAAAGGCTCTACCGGCCTCCGCTGTTGAGCAAAGTGCTTTGCCTGCCCAGACACAAGGCTGCTTTCTCGCTCTTCCAGACCCAGTGCTTGTCTAATTTGTGGAGTTTTTCCAGTTCCCTAAACTTGACAAAACTGGAGGTGGCCCAATTCGCTTGGCTGTGCGTGAAATGTGCCTAGGGGCGAGGCCGCGCCAGGCCGCTGAAAGGCTCTACCGGCCTCCGCTGTTGAGCAAAGTGCTTTGCCTGCCCAGACACAAGGCTGCTTTCTCGCTCTTCCAGACCCAGTGCTTGTCTAATTTGTGGAGTTTTTCCAGTTCCCTAAACTTGACAAAACTGTTCGCTTTTCTTACTGAGGGGGTGAACCTCCCCTGAGGCTACTGAAAGTAGTAGTGAATAAAAGCGTTTGCTGCTGCTAAGGGTGTGTGTTGTGTGTCTGCATAAAAATCTACTTGCAACGATTTTTCTTGCTTTTTTTTTTCCATTGAAGTTTAGAGGAAATGATTGTGATGTGATCAGAGCAGCTGATCGTTGAGTGTGCTGTCAGGTGCTCTGAGAGTGGGCTAAGCAGCAGTTCCCATTGGTGTCCTGGTGGCCTTTTTAACCCCGTAGCAACAGTGGTTGCATGAAGCAAAGTGTGGACAATGTAGAGTCTGTTATTTAGAAGAGCTGTGTTTGTCTGCTACTCCTCTTCACAGTCGGTAGGTTATAGAGCTTGAGCTTCCCAAGTTGTTCACAGCGTTTCTGTGGCTTTGGTTAAGGCTTCCACCTGTGCAGTTCTGGCCTCATTTGCGGTGGCTCTTGATAGAGCTTGAGCTTCCCAAGTTGTTCAGAGCGTTTCTGTGGCTTTGGTTTGTCATAACACAAATTTGCACAGTGTTTCTGGTATGAGAGAGTTCCATGGTATCAGACAAGGCTTCTGGGTCTTCCTGTGGCTGCCTTCTGCTGACCGTCGCTTGCAGTAATCTGCACCCTTCAGAAGTGCTTCCCTGATCTTACTGAGGTCTTTCAGTGAAATCAGGAGAAGAAATTGCTGGGTGGATGTTCAGTTATTAATGTTCTCGACTGATGTAAAGAGAAGTCTGAGAACATGGCTTATGTGAACTGTGCTTTCAGATTGGCTGGCTAGGGCATAGGCTTTAGTTTTTTGCATTATTCAGGTTAGGATTGCTGCCGGCGCGTTGACAGTATCAGTTGTCAAATGTACAAGACTAGTTTGTGGAGTAGCTTAGATAGCAGTTGCCTTGTAGCTGCAGTTTAAAGCTTGCTCAGTGTCAGAGTTTGAAGGCACCCTCCAGAGCGCTGCAGAATGGAAACCTAAGCCCTGCAGAGGTGGTTAGGGTTTATGGAAGAGAACAATATTACTAATTCTTTCTCTCAAGTGTAGTGCTTTCTGGTGTATCAAATCTGTTGTTGGCGGGTGAAGGAGTGACTGACTTCCTGGCATAGACACAAACAAAAAGCTGTAGTGTGGACACGTCTCAATAAATAGACCTTTACTGTGATATTTATCTCCTTCATAATAATAGCAGCATTGGTAGAGTAAAAAACTGTTCCAGTTTTTCAGGAAAGATTTATTGTTTTAAATCTGTAGATCAAATTTTTAGCTCTTATATTTTAACTGTTAGCATTCAGTGTTTTGTAATATTTAGCATCTTTTCTGTGTGCCCCTTTACTCATGCGTGTGCAAGTTAATACAAAAAGCTTGACTGTAATCTCTCTGATAGTGAGAAAACAGAACCCAAAGCTGCAGAACAGTTAAAAGGTGTAATACTGTCAAGGCCTGTTTTTGCAGAATCTAGCTACTGGTTATGTCCCCGGGGAGCCCTTGTCTTTCATTTTGGGTAGCATGGGCTTTGTACCCCACTATTGATTTGCAGTATTCAAGAACAAATCCTCTTTTATTCTAAGAATTAAAAGTATCAAAGTCTTATCGGAAGTCTAGACCAAGCTTTCAGTTTAACAAATTATCTTGCGAAGTGGGATAATAGAGGGGATTAATTCTCACTAACACCTCTGTACAAATCACTTACCTTCACCCACAATAGACAGCTAAACTTAGATTAAATGTGATAACAGCCATTGAGATTCAGTGTAGTATTCATTAGTCATTATTGACTTTGATAATCCTTCTTCCTTGTTTGAAACCAGCTCAAATTTTTGATAGTTATTGGTATGAATAACAGAGTCCAACCTAATGTTTCTTTTCAAAATATGTCTGGTTTGCTGTCTTGAACTAAAACAACATAATTTCATAAGTTCTCGGTACACTGATATGAAACCTTCCCTTTCTTCTAATAATGTGTAGCAGATGACTTTGCCAGAAGTTGAGCCAAACCATCTTGCATTTTTAAAATATTTGCAAAATACTTAGATTTGCAAAGTGGTATATTTTATTCTAGATAAATGTGGAACAACATGAGCACTGGAATAATTTATCTACCCTAGCACGAATACCCATCAAACCGTGTGATAAGATGTCTGTGTCTGTTCAGGAGGTGATTAAAAAAATCACACATCTGCGAAGGTCAACTGTGTTTCTTCTTATGGGATGTGTTTAATTACGTTACTCTGTATTTACAGAAATTACAAGTTTTTTTTTTTTTTTATCTTCTGTGATTCATGTCTGGGAAAAAGACTGATGTTAAGGTGGCATATGTTAAATAATTTGATTCAGAGCCTATCACCTTATTTATTTTCAGTATTACAATAATACTGAGCTTAAGCAGAAATAGCTGTTGATGACATGCCCCCAGAAGTCTAGATATTATTTATTTATTGGTTTTGGTCAATGCCAATGTTGCTTTACATTCATCATGTTAAAAAAGGTAAAATTGCAAGCTTCTTTCCCAGTTCCCAATTTATTTTTTAACTTTCCATGTTGGACTTTCTCCTGCACAGATCTTGTGGATCTGGGGTTTTTGTAATTTTGACCTTCAGTTGTAATTTTCCTCCAAATTTTGCCATCTTATGTAATTGTAAACTTCCTTTCGTGCATAATACTTCAGTCCCGAAGTTGTATTTTTTGAATTTCACTCCTGGAAAACCAAAAGGAAAAATAAAAAAGTTAAACGGATGAAAAAGTATCATTTCATGTGAAAGTAAGTAAATGTTCGAGATGGTATAAAACGTGAGGGAAAAGGAAGTATAGCAGACCTTAGCTTTTGGTTTCTGTCAATCCCTTTGCTAATTACTGAGCAAACTGCTTATGTGGTTGGCATTAAAGGATTTGAGAATGAGTCACAATCAGTTTTTCCTTCGAGGTTGACCAGTAGTAGTTATAACCACTGAAGAATGTAGAGGATGCTATATTTTTCACTTCGGCCTAAGTATATTATTTTCAAGTAATATGCCCATATTTTCTGAACCCTAATTTTATAAAATATTAGTATTTCTGCGAAGGTTGTCAAGGTTGTACTAAGTAGCTCTTTCTTTCAGTTTGCAGGCTGAAATCATCGGTTAGCTTCCTTACTCGACCAGATCGACCAAATCTAGCTTATCATAAGCTGAAGGGCAGAAATCCAGGGATTATTTTCCTTCCAGGCTTTAATTCAAATATGAACGGTCAGAAAGCAATTGCCCTTGAGGATTTTTGCAACTCTCTAGGTCATGCCTTCATCAGGTACATTCAGAGTGTTATTCTCAAGAAAATGAAAGAATTAAGTATCACTGGTTAGGAGAGGGGAGAATGAGTTTAACAGAAAAAAATATTTAGGGGCTGAAATTAATTCTGATTAATCTCTTAGTAGTAAATGTAGACTTTTGCATTTGATTTGGAACATGGGCTGCGCTGCATATAAGCTTAGAAGTGTCTCTATTCCAGTGATAATGTGCATTTGGAATATAGGCTTTCTGTCTGTTGAGAGACTGACATAAATCAGGAAAATGTATTTGGAAAGTAATTTAGAAAACTGATAAAATTTCTGTAGTCTAGTCTAGTGCTATGCATTGTGTTAAGGCTGTAAGCACAAAAAATGAAAGAGGAAAGAAAAGCTTTTAAATTTTGGATTTAGGTCCTGGTATTCTAATTTTTGTAAATTATCGCTATTAGCATTCTCGTTAACTGCAAAACCTTATCACACTGTCCAGTGGCTTGTGTGTTTTTAGATGATCACGTACATACTTGGTGAGATTCTTCTTTGATAGACTAGGTAGAATGTGAGTTTCATAAATATTCATAATTGGGTACAGTATTTCAAAGAGAGGGAGTTATCCTGGTAAATTTGGCTATTTATACCTCACACTGTAAGAGAATACTGCATCACCTTGTTGCATATGTTGTATTTAAATCTCCTTTTGTGTGGTTTTTAATGCTGAAGATAAGCGGGACCAAGTAAGAAAATGGTCGGTGTGATATGTTGTCTTCTGTTTAATTTTGATTAAATGGTACCGTTTCGTTACATTCTGTGTAGTTGTGGACAGTACTCCAACTTTCATTTTGATGGTTACTTTTGCAGATTTGACTATACGGGATGTGGAAGTTCGAATGGTAACCTCGAGGAGTGCACAATTGGGAAATGGAGAAAGGATGTTCTGTCTATACTGGATGAACTTACAGACGGACCACAGGTTGTATTTTATTTTTATGTATAGAACACTTTCCTCCCTCAGGATAGAACATTATATCCTCGAAAATGTGCTGCAAAAGCTCTGGTAAACAATAGCTTCAATTTACAGTCTCTGTTCTCTTAACAACTTGCACTCACTTTCAAGATGATTCATTTGAAGTAAGTCAGATTCCTAGGATGTCTTTCGCACACACGTAGATCATAGAACCATAGAAACGTGGGTTGGCAGGACCACCTGGAGGTCTGTTGGTTGGGCCCTTGCCTAGGACAGGACTGTCACTGCAGTGGGTCGGGTCAGCCCAGGCTTTGTCCCGAGGAGTCTTGAAGGGTGAAGTTTTCACCTGACCTCTCTGGGCAGCCTGTTCGAGTGCTGTGCTGCCTTCCTAGTGAAAAAGCTTTTCCCTGATATCTAAATGGTAATGCCCAGATGCTGATGCATTGACTCATTAGAGTGACTTACCGTAACGTTAAACGTTAAGATATTGTATATGGTGAAATAACTAACAAAATGGTCAGCAGAAGCAGCATTTGGTTTCTTCTTTAACTTTGGAAGTGAATGTAGAAGCTCATTCAAATACTGTGAGGAGCTTGAGAACTGCTCCAACCTGGAAATACCTCAGTATTTTGTTAAAACCTTTTTGTATTATAAATTGCTTTTGTTGGTCCCTGTCACTGCACTGAGCCTTTATGATGTGCGTTTATTTTAAGCAGGAAGCATAAAATATTCATGCAGTACTGAATTGTTTCACCTCTCGTTTTGTTTACAGTGTTTCAATCCCAGTCAGCAATAACCAGCCATGCCAAACAAAAAAAGAATAATAAAATGCCAGATCCTGTGGTGCTTACTCAGGCAAAATTTCTACTGGAGATGACAGCAGTTCTGCCTGGGTAAGGACAGCAGGATTGTGCCCGAGGTTTAAATAGTTAAACAAGACGAAAGCTGATTTTTTTTTTTTGGTGAAAGAAAAAAAGAAGATATTTCCTGTAAAATAACATCTTATTTCCTCTCTTTTAAGATTCTGGTGGGCTCCAGCTTAGGGGGATGGCTGATGCTTCATGCCGCAATGGCACGTCCAGATAAAGTAGCTGCTCTAGTTGGAGTCGGTGTAGCAGCGGATCATCTTGTAAGAACCTTTAACAGGCTTCCCATTGAGGTAAATGCTCATGATTGGCTTTTGTGCAAGCTCAAATCTATCAGACGTTTAAGGCAGTGTTGTCCAAACACTGGTACTTGGCCTGCACATCTTCTGGTAGTTTTTCTGCGTGTGTGGTGGAGGTAAACTGAAAACTTACATTAATTAAAAACCTGCAAAATTCTGTGCTTCTGCTGTGAAGTTAGTGTGAATGCTGCCTAGAATGTGTTTATATTACTGTGGCATATAGGACACGGAGTTAGAGACCCCTGTTATTCAGCAGTCCATTAGATTCCAGTGTTAAAGATCTTACACTTGCGTCCAAATTGGATTGAATCTATTCAGCTTATTGGATATAAGGTGAATAGGACTGTGCTTTCAAGGATGAAGAAGTAGCTGTTAAAGTAATTGAGGTGATATTGGATGAGATAATTCCGACACAGCTTGTGTGTAGAAAGGGAATTCTTCAGATTAGTGTGTTTATGAAGAATCTACATGATCTAGATAGCAGAAAGTCTTTCTCCAAGTTGCCTACTTAATGGTGATAATGTTCAGTCTTCAGAAAAGTAAACTGGGCGTAATAACGTGACAAAGAAATAACTCATACTGTAGAATAATTAAAATATTTTCTTCTTTCTTTTTTTTTTTTTTTTTGAAGATGCTTTAAAGATATTCTAGCATCATTACCTAAGGCTTTATTTGTAGTTGAGTTTAAGCTTTACTGATCATGAGTAAGCTTGATTTTGACATCTCTTTATGGCTTACTTATTTTATTAGGTTGAAACAAAGAGGGTGTTACATCATGTCACGTAAGGAAAGAGTTCTTATCCTTCATGCTGAGTTTTTGTTTTGTTTTTTTTTCAAAATAGGGAAAATTGTGAAGAACGACAGTGTTGATTTTTTAAAAGATACTTATTGTGGTCACAAGAGGAAGCATAAAGGGTTGTTTGAAGTTAAATGAGACAACGATCACTGGTGATTAGAAAGAACGTACAAACAAAACTAAGCATGTCTTCAGTAGATGTTACTATTCTTGTATGTACCAGTCATGTTAGCGTTATGCTGAGATAAGCTTAATCTATTTGTCACGACATATTTTGCGCTGTGTTTAGTAGAGGAAATGGAAGATGAAAACCAGATAGAAAATATTGACTTGACTTGATCAAAAATTATTTTCCTTAAACTCTAAGGGTATACAGATTTGTCTTCAGAGTCAGGAAATACGATATTTAAACATAGCTATCATGACGGAACCGGAAAAGGTTCATGACTGGAAAATTCCTGTTTCCTAGGAGTCTCCTTGATTGAGGTTCAGTGAATTGATTGAAGCCAGAAAGACCCGCTGTTCATTGTGGCTGTATGTCTTTTTCTTTCCGATAGATTCTGGCTGAGAAGCTTAATTTAACCGGGGAATATTAACTAGATTAATTGCAGGCGAGAGGTGCAGCATAGCTTTTGTGTTGTGGTAGGGGTTTTGCCTTTTCAGATGCTGTAAGGCAAACAGGAATATACCTTCTCTGCTAATAGGACTAGACAAAGTGGAATTTAAAAAGTCTACGGAGGTTTTAGTGCGTTTAGAGCAGAAATGAGAAGTTGGGGCACCCTAAAGAATTTGTAACGTCTTTCTTGTGTGTTCTTTGCTTTTTTTTTTTTTTTATAGACCCAAAAAGAAATAGAAGAAAAAGGTGAATGGAAATTGCCAACAAAGCATAGTGAGGAAGGCTATTACTCTCTGACATATGACTTCATTAGAGAAGCAGAAAACCACTGTGTGTTGAATAGTCCTATTCCTGTAACATGTCCCATAAGACTTATTCATGGCATGAAGGATGATGACGTCCCTTGGCAAATCTCTATGCAAGTTGCTGATCGTGTTCTGAGCAAAGATGTGGATGTTATCCTCCGCAAAGTTGGCCAACATCGTATGAGTGAGAAGGAAGATACGAAACTTCTTGTGAATACTGTTGATGATTTAATCGACAAGCTGACAACACTAGCATGAGCTGTATGGTAGCATAATTGCATGAACTCTGCACCTGACTCTTTTCCATGAGTAGTGGAAACCCTGTTCTTAAAAAAACTCCTGCCAGGGTTGTGACTATCACAGTAAGAATAGGAGCTTTAACTACTGTTTCCTTATATCTGTTTTGTAAACACAGATATTTTTATTAATGCTGTATTTGCACAGATAGTTCAAAATGTGAAGAGAGTGCTGCTGTTTGTTTCAAAATCTCTCCTTCACCACTTATACCTTTTTTTAGCACGAGCTTCCTACACTGTTTTGTACCGAAACGCGCTTACCTTTCTTATTTCGTGCCAGTGGTTCATTTTATTACTACTTGGCCTGTACAATACAACTTAATTTCTCATTTCTTTGACACCTTTGTAGAATTGTGCTTTATGCTCTAGCATTCTTGTTTTATGTCTGAAACCTTTCTGTGCAAGCCAAAATACAACATAAGTGTTTAGCAAAGTTATTGTCATTAGAAACAGAGTAAGTAAACATGAAGTGTAATAAACTGATTTCAAATCAAATGATGATATTTTCCTTAAATAGTGTTAAAATTGTAAAACAAAAGGCATGTAAAGCCCTGATGGTGCGCTTGGAGGAAGGAAGGAAGAAGTTACTTTGGATTTGTTTAGAGTAGATCAAGACTAAGTTTTACAGACATAAATACCCATAGGCCTGTTGTGGGGCTGCCACATATATGAGAATCGCGTTATTGCTGTCTTAAGAGCCTAAGAAAGCAGTGCCTCGAAGTGTGAGTCGATTTCTCTTATCTATACTTATAAGTAGGATTGATATCCTCTTCTCCAGGCTACCTTTGTGTAACATTTGATTTGTGAGACTACTTATTAAGGGAATAATATATAATCTTTGTATAAAGCAAACTGAAATTAGATCAATATTGTGGCCCATTTCTATAGTAATTGCTTAAAAGTAAGGAGTATGAGATCATAGGGCCTCACTGCCTCCCTTCTATGTGTGGATTATCAGGAGTAGTGTCTTTTGGAGTTAACTTGAGGTGCACAATTGCAAACAGGAACAACTTTTAGCTGAAACTTAAAGGTAATAGTTGGATAGTTCTTGTAACATGGATCACTTAGAATTTTAATAGTCTGTGGATTTAATGGGACTGTCACCTGTCCTTTATTCAAAAGTAAGGTGTCATTCATACCTTTGGAATAGAGAACAGAACTTAGATGAGAGGTTGGAATTAGTTCAGTTTGCCTTAATGTGAAACCTCAGTCAGAAACATTTAGTAATTTCTGGCTTTGCAGTTTTAAATAGAAAGTGGCATTGCTATTGATACCTAGAAAACTAAGGCTTCTAGGGGCAAGATATTTCTATAGGAGCTATCTTTTTAGTGTTAGCGTCCTCAGTAGAAGTTCATTGTGCAGAGCTTTGCTGAAGTACTGATTTAATAAAATGAGAAAAATTACAAAAAAATAAATTTTGATGACTTCTTTGGAAGTAGGGTTTTATTTAGGCTTCGACACTACAAAAACCAAGAAGCTGTGATGTGAAACTTCTGGATCCTGGTATGAGGCTAAAAGAGACCGCTCTAGTTCAAAAGGAAGCTACAGTAAGGTTATAGTATAGATGTGACCCTTCTAATTTGAGTGGACTACTTTGCTGATTCAATTCATTTAGCTCAGGAATATCTGTCTTAGGAATTACATCATTCCATGGAATGTTGTTTCCAAGTACTTCTGGTTTCTGAAGGGAGTAGACAATTTTTGCTGTCAGGATGAATATGCAGTTCTTTACTTTCTTAAGCTTTGAAAACTCTTAACTACATATTTTTGAGGAAAAATTAATAAGATGGCTTATGAAAACTGTGCACCCACTTCCAGTCCTGAAGCTCGATTTGTGTTCATCTTTGTGTTGTTAAACAGTTGTCTTTATATGCATTCAAATAACTTGCATTTAACACAACCTGAAAAATAGATTTGTGAGATTTTTAAAAAGACAGTCAAATCAAAATTAAGTTACTTTAAAACTTTCTGCTATTAGTTTATCTATGGCAACTTCTTTTTTGATTCACTTGTCATGTCTTAGATTGCTTTGTCTCTTAAAGGAAGAAATAGATGAAAAGAAGGAAGCAGATTGCAGTAGTTCAGAATTGCTTCAATTTTAATTAAGGCACAAAGTTATCAATTGTAATAGATGTATTTTCTTTCACATGTATTAAATATGTTATTTCAGTAGCTGAAAAGTTCTGAGTTATTTTTTCGAATGGACGTTATCCCTATATGCATCCAGTTGACTGTATGTATGTTGTTCTGTTTAGCAGTTCAGAAAAGTCTTTATACCTCTGCACACATTGAAGCTGTGTAATTCGCTTGAAAGAACTGCATTGTATTTCTTCAAAGGTTCACCTTAACCTTTATTAAGCAATTAGTATCTCATGGGTAAAGTCTTTTTGTTGCAGTGCCTTAGAGCAAGATAACTGAAAACAAAGGTGAAGGGAAGGAGTGATCTTTTTAGTTCTGCATCCAGGTGGGAGAAGGCAGCAGAACCGGCCTGACACAATTGTTGAGGATACAACTGCAGCACCAATGGCTTAGACCTTAGCGTTATTGAAACTATTAATCCTGGGGGTTTTTTGCTTTTCAGTGATTTTTGTAGTTCTCTCTGTTTTCCTTTCTTCCCTGCTCCCTAAATGAACATCAGTGGTACTGTTTGTTTCAGGTGCACCCCAAATTTAAGATATACTGCCTAAATACAAAGGCAGAGATTTTGTTTTGCCACAGTAATTCCACTGGTATTGCTCTCGCAGGCATAGCATTTTCTTTGTGTTCGTGCTGGAATTTGCCAGCGTTTTGATTACTGTCAACTTGTCGTGTTTAAATGCCTGAAATAAGGGTTGTGTGATAACCGGTGTTCTCCCCTGCATTCCCTCTTCCTGTGTTAGTGTTGCCAAAGCTGTACTGTTTATTGCAGTAGCAGAAAGTCTGGAGAAAAACAGCTAAAGGCCCAGCTTTCCTGCTATAGCATCCCCGAAACCAGAGAGATTTACAAACTACCCATAGCTAGCGCTTGACTTATCAGGAAGTCTTGACGCTCTCTAATGTCATAGTCACATTGTTAGTGGTGTCATTTTATTCAGTAGTACGTTTTGCCCTGTGAGGTAGTGGTGATGGCATGCATCTCTTTCATCTTTGCTGGTAGATGCCTAGATAGTGAATTATTTTTAATGTTAGTCATATTTAAAAAACTATTTCTCTTTTGTAGAAATTCTATATTAAGCTAGTATATTACGTATTTGGAAAGAAAGCTTTGCGTAGTTGGAATCTTTTGTAATGGATTCTTATGTTCCATGGCTTTTTTTTTTTAATGGACCTCTAATTTGCTGCCAAGTACAAAGTGTGTTTTAGGGATATCTAACATGCATCTCTTCAAGAGTATGCTGGGTTTGCACAAAATGACCTGAGTCTTCTCTGCTTCCAAATGCAGCAAGCTAAGCGGCTGTATATTGTGCTGCTTGGAGGTGGTGTGGTTTTTGTTTTCTTTAAATGTCTTAGTCTACGCTTAATTATTTTCAGTAGTTCACTTAAGTTCGTGTTATCATCTTTCATTTCTGGCAGGTCTGAAAATCACTTCTGGGCTGTCACTGAGCATAGTACCGACATGTTGGGGCTGAGAGGGTTGTCACAGCACAAGGAAGCTCTGGACGGTAAACAGAGGCGCTCAACTGCTCTGTAGTTCCTTTTGATCAGACAATGCTAGTTGAATGAGCATTTGGAGATGTTTATTTTATATGTAATGGTTAAATTACATAACGTGAATTCCTGCCCAGGAATTAGTAGTCCTTCGAGTTTCATGAATATATAACAAATACGAGCTTTTATAGTTAGGCATGAAACTTGATTAGCATGTAGTGCTAAAGAAGCAGCTGATAGATTTAATTAAAAAAGAAACAAAAGCGTTACCAGCTGACCTCAACTGTCTGCAGTCCTTATCAAGTGACACTTCCATTTCAGATCTGCTGCAAAACCTGTGAAACTACTTGAAACCTAACTTGTGAAGCAAACTTTATCTGCTAAAAAACCATCAAAACGGTGAGGCGTGCTTTCCAGGGTTTTGGAGCTACTCTGCAGTGGATCAGTATGTATTGAAAGAGTCTGTAAAACTTAACTTTTTTTTTTTTTTTTTTACTATTAAGCAAATGTTCTTCTTCTGTGTATATTGAGCTGCACTAGCACAGTTTTATATATATTAATTTTTTATCTTTTCATATGGCCCACTTATTTTGACTCTCCTGTTGTTATGGCTTTGTATTACACACAGCAGCCTTTTTTTGAGTTAACTGGTATGAAGTGTTTCACCTGCTTTCCATTTCAGCCTATTTACTTTTTTTGCTTTAACACTAAATATAAACAAAACACTGTTCACAAAAAGACTGCTAGTTGGATAGGCCTCAGAGGAGCTGCCTCCTGCTGTTTCATTTTTATGTTAATTTTTGATTAAGTGCTTTCTCTTGGACACACTGTTATTCATTGGGGCTGAGATTTATGGTGCCATACTTTTCATAGCCAGTGAAAAGGTGCTTAGAGAGAAACTCCCAGCCAGCTCTGATGTTTCAAGCACGCGAGTGCGATATCCAGTTCTGACAATGATTCAGTGCCTTGGTCAAAGTCACAACATTGGTTCTGTGCTTGTCGCTCCTCTTCCTCTCCTCTCCTCCATGTCTCCCCTCTGCACCCCCCCTCCCCCCCAAAAAAAGGGGGAGGAGAGATAAAATCATGACCTGGGGAATAATGAGATTGGAACCTTCTTGATTGTTGTGTTACTCAATCGTACTGTTATAAATGGGCAGACCTATAACACCCTGCAGAAATGTATAAAAAAAAAATAGATAAATTATGTTGGCAATATTCAAAGATAAAGGCTTCGTTGGAAAAAAAGAGGATTCTGCAGTTGAACTGTCTCTAAGCAATCACAGTCTTGAGCTGCCGTACAACTTCGGTCAGGTTTGGAAAAATGTAGAATTTCACTAAAGTTTTGTGAAAATCAACAACTGTGTAAAGAACATGCATCCAAATAGACCGGAAGTCAGAATGCACTCTTTC